CTGTAAACTTGGATGGCAACCGGTTTAGGAGAAGAAAAAACTTTGAATTTAAAACTGGCCTGGAGAGGGTTAGCTTCCGTCAGCTATCTTGCCTAAGAAACCCCACTTTACTGTGGCTGTATGGTGCCCCTGCGCGTCACGGGGAAAATGAATAAATAATCTCCGAGTATTTTAGGCATAAATCCCGATTTATAGCGTCATTTTCACAAGCTCGCACTGTCTATAAATTACTTCCGGAAACGCAATCTGATGCAGCCATGCAGCCTCCCGTCCATTACCATTCACGTGGCTGTATGTAAAAATCATTTTTACCTGCACACGATATGAATATCCTGCCATTGTTAAACGGAACATTTCTCAGTTAACTCACTACTATACACGTTAAACGTTAAAGACAGACTGGTCATCTACCGTAAACTTTCTTTAAAATTAATAACTCAAAAACAAAGAATTTTCCTACATATGTTTATATAGACTTTTGTCCTTGTTTTGGTGTGAGGAACCTGCCCCAAAGTCTGGAAAAATATTGATGATATATATATATATATCATCCACAGACAGACTGCTCCGCTGAATCAGTGAGGCTAGGCATCCGATCGCTTCGGGCCGTGACCGAAACACGACCGATTGGGTATCAGTCGGAGATTCTAACCCCTAGGCCATCGACGCCCGGCGGAGAGCTGGAGGGGGAAGAAGCTGATTAATACCTTTCCCAAGAGTATAAGCACGTAATGTAATGGACTATAATATGGAATTTGAACTCGTCTCTCCGATTCCTCAATCGAACCGCTATCCATATATATATATATATATATATATATATATATATATATATATATATATATATATATATATATATATATATATATATATAATTTTCTGTTTATAGGTTATTTTTATAATAATAGATAATTTATGTAAACATATCTTACGTAAGCAATGGCAACATATGAAAGTCTTCGCGAGCAGAAATGATCGATCGAGAAAAATTGTCCAAGGTGTGTGTTTAAAACAGTAATTCGGACTTTGCTAAGCAGACTGATCTCTATGGCTGAACAACAACGACGCGTCAGGCTATAGGACGGTTCCTATAAGGGTTACAGGTTCGATTTCTGTCGGAAAGCGCATATTTTCTATGAAATGTCTCAAACATTCAGGCCGCTAAATGCAATTAATACTGTTTAATTAGAAAATAAATAAATTATATCTATAAAAATAACGTAGAAACAGAAAATATATTAAATAATTGTTGGCCTTAATTCATTTCATAATATATATAGTTGTGAACAGAGTTATTTTGTTTTGCAAAAAGGGGCTACTTCTGGTTTAGATTTACTTCCTTTGCACAAAATGCAATATAGTTGCGTTAATTGTTATTTGCTGTAAATTTTTAATTGGATAATGTTCTTCAAGAAAAATTACAAAGAAATGAGGCCATATAGTTTTTGCTTCTTTAAAAAGAAATAACTGTAAAATTATTTATTCATTACTTTTTTTTATTAATATAATAACTTAACAAGAACGTAAAAAGAATTTAACTTTAGCTAAAAATTTTATTTTCTTCAAAACAAAAAGTAAAGTAATTAAATAAATATTTAAAAAAATATTTATTTAAAAATATTGAAGTTAGGGCTGACCGGCCATCCAGAAAATACGGCCCTGGTACTGTTGCAGTGGGGTTTTATCTAAACCATAACCCATGATTTTCGTAGTAATACTTATTTAAAACGTTGGGGGAGTGATAGCCCCCTCCAGAAATTACGGCCCTAGAATAGTTGTAGTGTTGTTTTATCTTGACCCCTGTAGTTAATATTTTTCCCAAAAATTTGGGAAGGAGGCCCAGCCCTAAGCCCTCCTTTGTAAGTACGGCCCTAGTATTGTAGTAGTGGGGTTGTACATGGATCCTACGATTTTAAGTTATTTAAAAATATAGGGGGCTTAGCCCCCAAATCTCCACTCCAGAACGGTCCTAAAATCAATTTTAATCGACTTTTATTTCATAGTTATCGAATTTTCCGTTACCGAATTTTCCGAGAACCATATATATATATATATATATATATATATATATATATATATATATATATATATATATATATATGTATCTTGATATAGGAAAGAAAACGATATCTGAATTTTTATCTATCAAGAAAATTTTATGGAAAAAATAAGACAACATGAACAAAGTTTTCTTGCGATAAAAAATTAATTTAAATTGAAAATTCCCAATGTTCTCTCTTCTGCTTGCGCCTGTAGAGTCTCATCAGCGTAAACATCACTTTAGTCCTAAAAGACGAAACGCGTCACGGGAAAAATATTATATATATATATATATATATATATATATATATATATATATATATATATATAAAAAAAGAAAAGGCTTAACACATCAACGAAGAATTCTGTCATAAATTTATTTCGACAGATAAATTTTTAATATCTGTCTAATCTTACCAAAATTACAAAATGGTTGAAATTTATCCCTGCAGACAATATATTCAAACTTATTTTTAAATTTAATGACAAGAGAACAGGAAGTAAAATGTCTAAATTCCATGAATTAGAAAAAAATTATCTGGGGATTTATATTACTGTAGAAAGGATCGGTGGGAAGAAAAAAGAGAAGCAAGATGTCAACACAATGAACAAGGGTGGGAGGGGGTAAGTACAAGTGACAATTAGTGAAATACATTGAAATTAAATCAAAATTTATATTGTCATCATCACTTATGGATTTGATATTTTATATATATATATAAAATGTGTTTCATTAAGACGGATTATATGTAAGGGTGTTTCATTAAGACGGATCAAAGTCAGCAGTAAATAAATCAGTGTTATTGGTGAAAATCTATTTATTTTTCTTTTGGATCATGTTATTTAAGTCATGTCAGTTATGTGTAAAAATAATATCGCCCAAATGTCCGCCAATTCTGAAAGGAAAAAATCATTAGACGCTTAAACTTAATTCACATTTAAAATCGGTCCAAGTTATTGGAACAGGAAGAAGCGATATATATATATATATATATATATGTATATATATATATATATATATATATATATATATATATATATATAGTTAGTTAGTTAGTTAGTTTATGAAAACTAGGTAATCCATATGGGTAAACCTAAGGAGGATAAAATCCAGAGAGCTCAATGTAAATCCAAAGCAAACAATTTGAATAAAAACAGACCACTTTAAGGTTCCATGTAATAAACTGCTAACTCATTCATGTCTTATCTCTCCCCGCTCACTTCCTCACTTCGTTAATTTACATATGTTTAATACGACCCGTCAAAAATGTGTAAATTTTCTTTTCATTTTGTTTGGAAGTAAAGTCTGATGATCCGCAGAACTTTAAAAGGGTGTGGTGAAATAATTTATTACATGAAACCTTAAAAGTGGCCTGTTTTTATTTGAATTATATATATATATATATATATATATATATATATATATATATTGAATTATATATATATATATATATATATATATATATATATATATATATATATATATATATATCGCTTCTTAGTCGGATGAAAATCTTTTGCCTCACTTCTTAATACCTTCACTCTTTCTTTTTTTTCCATTTGTTTACAAGTTTGTATACACCACTATGTGCGTGTATGTCGATATGCATTGATGTTTACACATCTACACACAGGTGTCCATATATAGATATGCTCGCATATATTTATAAATACATGCAAGTAGGCAATTATTCAGCCCAGATAATTTTAACACTACTTAAATTAACTGATCTGCTCATAAAAAGGGAGGGAAGAATTTGGGACGATTTTTGTAGATCAGATTCATTAGACCTGAATTGTATTCGAATAGAAAAATATTGAATTTGTATCATTTTAGAAGGCGGATAGTCCTGTTCATAATATATATACGACATCAAATCGATCCTTATCTTTTTAAAGAATTATCTCTACGCTGTGTTTATTTACAAATGCTAAGTTTGAAATTCTGCTCATTGTTAACCGCGTACTATTACGTGATTGATTTGTTTTCTACGGTTTATCTACCCTTTGAAGTTTATTTAAAGCCAGAAAATAATTTTAGATTGTTAGATTTTTTTTTTTTTTTTAGATAATAATAGTTTTAGTGACATAAGTCTTAATAATTAAGAGGGGAGACGAGATGGATTCATATCTTTGCGGGAATTAGAACTCGGCTCTCCGATTAATAATTTAAAGTCATTATCTATTACACCACCCGCACTTAAAATCTTACAGCACCTGTTATTCCCAAGTAGTTACATATCGAAATACTAACCAGGCTCGACGTTACTTAACTTCGGTGATCATACTGGAACCGGTTTTTCAACGTGATATGGCCGCAAGTGACGAATTGAGAAAAAGAACATAATTGCAAGTACGCTGTTATCAATGACGTAAACACATTTTAAAACGTGACACTTGTAAATAAAAACTAAGTACAGATAAACCTTTAAAGAGACAGGGGTCGACTGAACTGTCAGTTATCCGCCATACCTGATACACGCTTAGGCGATCATGTATCTTTCGATACATCACTGACGAGGCAGATTTTTTCCTAAAGCAGGTTGCTATTTCTTTCTGCGGTAGGCCAGTTATCATCCAAACCTATAGAACCCGATCTGTCCTGCTATTTAACCATAGCTGGGGGGAAGAAGAAGAGGATTCATACCTTTCCCAAGAGTATTAGCACATAAGTGAATGTAATGGATTCGACTGGAATTCGAACTCGGATCTCCGATTAACACTGTATGATAAACGGAATTACCCAACTTTTTTTTTTTTTTTTAATCATTACTTTTCGATCCTGATAAATATTATAAGTAGAGAATAGTCAAATAAATGCTAACGAAAAACAACTTTTCAAAAACATTTTCACCAGTTAATTCATATCATTAGTTTTAATAATACTTTTGAAAATGGCATAGATACATCACGTCCATTTTTAATCAAGAAACCTCTTCTATAGCTCATTATTTAAAATAATGCCGTATCTAAATCATTGTTTTTTTGGTTGTCTGATCAGATAATGGCATTTTGCTTTAAAAGGATCAATGGTCTTGCGAGATCGATTTTGATAAGTAAAATGTCTAGGGTTCAAGTTAAGGAGGAGAACAATAAATGAAAAGGTCGAATTCAAGAAGCAAACAAATAACAAAGTCTCCGAGTAAGTTTACGCGGAAATGGCGGCAGTTTTTCAGAAGGCTCCAATTTTATAACGGACAGTCTTGAGTGAATGATCTTTTCAGTACCTGAACAAAATAGACATGAAACCGAAACATGAAACGCTAACGGCATTAGTGACCGTCTGAATCTGGAGTAGGAACAGCTTTTGATATATTTAGCTGAGGGAAATTGCAACAGACTGACATCAAAGACAGAAAGAAGGACTGACATAGTGTGGAAGAAAGAAAGAAAGAAAGAAAGAAAGAAAGAAAGAAAGAAAGAAAGAAAGTGCACAATGATAAAGACACGCCGTGTCCTTTCAAACGTATAAAATCCAGACGACAGACGGCTCCGTTTCGATGGTGGTGTGTCGCTTACAGCTGTCTTTTTGCAGGCGACTGTACACGGCATGAACGATGTTGTTTTTGACAAGGCCAGGTGCTAACGAATTGTTCCAGAAGATTTGTAAAAATCGCTGAGGAAAAATCCGGTGAAAAACAAAGAACGGGTCGTTGGATGAAATATATTTTATACAAAAGAAGATTAACAATTCATTTGTTATTACTCTCTTTCTGCGTACCAGATTTAAAATCAGACCGGTAAGTATTTGAAATATTTCACTGGTATTATGAATGGTAATGGCAGGGATTGTATTTTTGTTGTTTATTTCCGCTGTAGTTAAAGAAGTTTTATAGTTTTGAGTTTACGCATTCTTTACTTTATCATAAACCATCAACGTCTGTATATTTTAATGCGTTCATTTCTTTTTCATAGACGTACATCGGCTGCATAATAAATATTCTATTAGAAAAACTGGTGTAGAAACATTTACCTCACTACACCAATATAATCATTACCGCAATATGGTAACATTTTGTTTATGGATATAAAATACACACACACACACACACACACAACTTGTTTTGAAAGAAAAAATAACATTTTATCGACATAAACGACAATAGTTTGTTCAGGCAGCAAAATACATACACATTTGCAGAGAAGTGAATTAAGGTCTTACTTGGTGGTTCATATGGTCGTGTCAGTGATTTTGATTTGGTTATATAAAATTAGAGAGAAAATGGAGGTAGAAGGGATATCATTCTGATGAAATTGATCCCACCTGGTGAAAACTTAAATTTCCTTCCTTCTAACCAGATTGTTATATGACACATTTCTTACTTTTTGATATGTGCATGAATTTTACCAAAGGCAAATACAGATAATTAATTTCACTTTTTACCCTACAGTTTTATGGTTTTTCACGGTCGCCATGTGTCATTTTTTAGATTGACAGCAGTATTCTTCAAGAATAATATTTGTTTGATTTTTTTTTTTTTTTAGTAAACTTTTATTTATATTCATATTAAAAAATACGGATTTTGTGCATTTTAATTATGGATGAATGCAAAGCAGAAAGTAAATCCCTGTTGCTACACACACACACACACACACACACACACACACACACACACATATATATATATATATATATATATATATATATATATATATATATATATATATATATATATATATATATATATATATATATATAGAGAGAGAGAGAGAGATAGATAGATAGATAGATAGATAGATAGATAGATAGATAGATAGATTGAAATTTCTCTGACACGTCAAGAGAAAAGATGGCTTGGAAAATTTGACACTCAACGGACGTATTGAAGACAAGAGACAGAGGAAAACAGTTAATAACTTAGCTAATATGTTTGTGCAATTGTTTGGGCATTGATTAGGAGAGATAGCAAAAAGACAAACCTTACGGAGAGCAACAAAGCATAGGAAGTTGTGGACAGTCAGGATCGTCTTCATTCTGAAGGGAAACGGTACATAGAAGTCTTAGAAATTCTTCCGGCTTCTTGCTTTCCAGTCAACTTTAATCTTCAAAAATGTTCTGGAGATTGGATGTTTTGTGAAGCTGGAACCTCCTTTTAATTTCTATTGTTCCCAGGTCCAACCTGACCCCGAGGTGGTAGCACCTGTTAGGGTCCTAGCAATAGGCAAATAGTGAAGCACAAACAAAAACAAAACACTATGTAAGTATAAAAATACCAGTAATACATTTTGAAAGCAAAATGACCAACAATAAATTTTATCTGTTGATGAAGCTATAAAATTGTGTTCAAAATGTTTAAATTTTAGCACTAACTAACCCATAGAGGTTGATATACCGCTAAACAAAATTAACCAACCAACAACCAATTGAGTTTTAGTGGCTTTATTGCCTTGTTTGGAGTGAAATTATTATCATTTTTTTTCATTTTTTTAAGTTTTCTACCATTCTAATTCCACAGTGTCTAGTAACCCATAATTTGAACAGTTCCCCCCCCTAACTGCCACTTTGAGTAACAGGCACTCACATTAGTGTTTCCCAGAACTCTTCAGTCTGGAGCTCTTCATGTCAAAGGTAAATCTTTTTTTCTTTATCCCATAATCATTACTTCCTACCAACTTCCTTTACATTCATATCATTTACACCTTATTCATTATTACTATTTAAATATTAGGGGGCTCTTCAGACTTGAATTGGATGAAATGTAGTAAAACAGACCTACTTGATGTCGTATTCGAAAGAAACTGTTAGTTCTATGCTTTAATTAACCATATGGTAACAGTTTTTTTATGAATTAAAAAAAACACAGGCATAATTGTTGGAGAAACACTATAAGAAATTGTACTCTATCAGTTCTACTACAGTAAAATGACGGCAAATTTATTATTCAAGAAAATGCGCCAGTTCTGATTAATTCACCTCAGAGGCCCTCTAAAATTCCAGATCTAAATGTTATGGATTAGTGTATCGAGTGTATATTTACTAGCAAAACTGTCGACGTCACATCGTCGATATTGATTCATTGAAGTGGAACTTAACTGAAGCTACTGCCTCCTGGTTATCACGCTTACAACTTTGTGTTGGACATTCAGGTAAACAATTTACGATGATTGTTCAATTTGTGCATGAATCATTATAGCTAAATAAATTTCTTTCTGAATTTACCGCTTTTCTACTGGGCACCCTGTAGATTCTCACCCTCTCCCTTCTTTGTACAATTCCCCTGGTGTTGCTATTGTGGTTTCCGAAGTAAATTGGATTTCTTTGCAGGTTCAAATTGCCTGCCCAACACTGCTATTTGTGCTACATTGAAATGTCTTTCTTTTCTATTTATTGGACCCAACTAGAAAAAAAAATCCAGGCAAAAAAATCCAGGCAACTATTTAAGCAACTTGATTAATATCCAATTCGAGTTTATTACATTCACTTACGCACTTGGGAAAGATATATATCCATCTCTTTTCCTCCGAGCTATGGGTTGAATAGCAGAATAGAATGAGTTCTGTAGCGATGGTTGGCAACCAATCTACCGCAGAAAAAAAAACGGCAGCCTCCTGCGGGAATATCTTCTGCCTAATTAGTCATCAAACGAAAGAGACATGATTGCCCAAGCGTGTATCACGTACGGCACTTAACTGACTTGACTGACTACTATTCAAAAATCCTGAGTTGTATTTAAAAAAAATCTTGTACATGAATATTGTACAAAAATTCATATTTATATTGAGAAATCTGTCTTATCTTAAACTTAATCCCTTATTACTGACCCAAGCGTATCACAATATTCTTTACAACAAAATAGCAACTTACTACAGTCACCATAATACCTCAAATTCTCTATGTAGCTCTAACTAGTTCCCATATATAATTTTTTTTATGTTGGGGTGTCTGTTAATAAAAAATAACATTTAAAACATTTACCAGAGAAAAGTTCATCCGAACAATTATCATGAAAGCATTTATAGAAAAGGCACAGGGGAGCTACGTTACGGCAGTGGAAAATTGACTGCAGCTGAGATGCCATGTCAAGACCAATAATATGGCTGATTCTTCTTTGTATTTTATCAAGAATTAGAGCAGGGGCACTGGACCATATGTGGTAGCAATATTCTAAGCATGGACGAATGGTAGACTTAAAAATATTCAAGATAGATTGAAAGTGAATCAACTCGCTAATTATTTGCCGCGTGATTTAGATTTTTGGTAAGTGATTGTCATATACAGTTATACAGTCCTTGCTTTATGATAGGGGTTGAAATCATACGTGAATATAATCAGAAAATTTTAAAATTGTTTTCTCTCATCCGTAAAACGGCTATATTAAGC